ATGGGCAAATGGCTGACACAGGACGCACTCGGTGATTGGATGAGGTTTCCTGTTCTGCATTTTCGGTTTCGTTAACCGGTTCACTAGGACAGACGATCCAGCTATCATCTGGCCGAAGTCTTTGGGTAACTGAGTTCCGAGCAGACTGTGTACGATTGACCGGGTTGGAAAGGTTATTGCGTGAGGGTAGGCGCACGGAACGGAACATACTAGGAGAGGTCGCCGAAACCNTCACAGGGAGATTAGAGTTTTGTGAGGTTGTATGCTCTTGTTCAAAACTGTTGGGTACTGTGGTATTTGAGGCAGACGACGGGACAACGGGAGAAGAGTCTGTCCCCAAATTGGCGGGAACGTCGGAAGGAACGATTATGCGTGGGCAGTGGACACGAGAAAAGGAAGGTGGAAAGCTGGAGCGTAGCTCGGCAGATCTAACAGAAAAGGAAGTTGAGGACCGTGTGGTACCGGGAAGCGTGCGGCGGCGGTCTGCAGGAACCTGACGTGCCAAGCGCGGAGTTACGTGTGCCAAAGTGACGACTGAGGATTCTGCGGATTCCGGAGTTGAAGTAGGGTCCAATCGAATAGGTGTGGTGTCTGCAGTGGGATAGGCGGATCGATGTGGTTTGATAAAGAAAGACAATATCTAAGTGCTCTGATAGAACCCATATCACGTAAAAACCTTAGAAGATTGATTTTTGAGTATGTGAGTAGCACCAGTTCTAGATGTTAAAGTAATGGTTAAATATTAAGCCCAATCCCTCTCCATCCTATATGTTATCACTTAATTTGTATACACTGTGAGCTTGGCAGCGATCCGTGAAGCTCGCTTCACTGTATTTCGTTGTACGATGATGATGATCAACAGTATAGGTTTCATTAACGCTGATTTAAAAAAATACTAACCAATGACATTCATAGAAAGCCAAATGAGTTGAACCAGTCAGAAAACATGCTGTACTACTGTAATGATTGAACACGAGTGTTTCCTACTTACGATTTTAAGTGCATAACCGAGAGAAACAGGAATCTGTGTGATGGTCGAAATAGTGACAGGGAGCAAATTGACTGTAAAAACAATCACTACACAAACGCACTTTAGAGAAATCAAACCACAAACACGTGAACAATTCGGAGATTGCAGATATAGTGCGGGAGAGGAACAAAGGAATGAGGGGCTTGAAGTTGAATGGTACTTTTTGTAATAACTGATTATTTTTAGTAGTAGTAGCAGTAGTATTATACTCAACTTGCTTGGATGAATGACAAGGGAATAAATGTTAATTTTGCACATAAGGATACCACATTTTCCATCACGTGGAAGGAAAGCAAAGTAAACAACATATTGAGTGGGGGGACGCAAAGGCGACAGAGTAGTATAGATAGATATAGTTTAAAGCATCTTATCAATCAACACCTGCAACCAGTGTATATAACTATACATCATTATATAATGTAGATGGAGAGATTGGATGAAGCCCTAAAGGTTCAACTTTAGGAGTAACACATGTGTACATGTACATACGTCACACACGTCTGAGTCCAGGCCGTGTGCAAAACAAATCACAGTACAATTATTTTTATAAAAAAGAAAAAGCTCCACGATTCGTTTGTGGGCGCGATACTGCAAGTTTACCCAGGCCGAGACAAGTGAATTTTTCAGGGGAGGGGGAATTCACAACCGGAACCTTGGACTAGCCAACGCCTGACCCGCAAGGGTTATCTTATGACAGGTAGAATTCTCTTACTGGGTCGGGTTGGTCGACACTAAAAAGACGTAGAGAAATTTCACAGCTGTTTCTGATTTTTTCTCAGGGGCAATGGGTATTTACCGAATTCATTCATGAATCGTTGTTCCAACGATGCAAGCATTGGGCTGACCAATCCCCATCATCATCATCGTACAGCGAGATACAGTGAAGCGAACTTCACTGATCGCTGCCAAGCTCACAAGTGATAAAGCACAAAATGGAGAGGGATTGGGCCTAATTGGAGGGAGGCGAAGATTGACCAAACCGTTTGGTGATCTCCTATCTAACGCACAAACTAACGTGAAGAGAAATTCTCATCTATGACAGAGTAGACAATACTCCTATGGAGATTGGTGTAACGGTATGGTCTGTAGTGGGTTGAGGTTGTCCGTCATTCAAGGACTTGGTGAGTGGAAAAACCGACTCAAATTTTCAATTATTCAATAACCGATAATCATTTTTTGTATGAAGCCTGTCGAAATCAGTAATTCAGGAAGTGCTATTACATGTAGGAAGGTTTTAGTGAAACGGGAAGTAAGGGATTAATTACTTTGAACCTTCCAAATCATCACAAATTCGATGAGAACCCGCTTACTTTAAACAATGCATGTGCTGTTCACATCACTTATTATGAAACTGAATTGACACTCTTGCGTTGATATATTTGTATAAGCCCCGGAATGTGGAATGTTTAATTTGGAGCACTTGCTCCAGTGGGTGACCAGGGCTGGTCTGAATTTCAAGCTTAATCGCCGCATTACCATCTTGGTTACTTCATCAGACTTCTACCATGCAGAGTAGACGTGATTGTTCGAACACTGATACTCTATCTTTATCCTGTTCGCTTTACTGTCAAGTTTCTGTATAATACAGCAACACCAGTAGAACTGCTGGGGCATAGACTCAACCCTTCAAGGGTAACCGGATGTTGCGGCGGTGCCATAAAAGTCTCTTTTGTATACATGTAGACCCTCGATCCCAGATTTGACCGTCAGGTGAGATGCGGTTGTACACAGCAAAGTTGATCTATTCTCACTGAATAGGATTGGTGGAAATTCGCGAAGTGATGGACGAAGATTGGTTATTAATAAAAAATAAACATCACTAAATTGTGCACCTTAAACAATCAACAATTTGACCGCCAACTACCTATCGAACAAATACAGATGGTCAGTTGTGAGATGAGCTGCTACCGAGAGCGCGTCGATCTTCTGGTTCCACCGTTGCCACTGAATTTCAGCTGTATCCCATTTTATCACCACACACCACTGTGTGATGGACGACACAAGAGATAAGTTACATAGTTACGAGGACATAGCTCTGTGGCTTGGGTGTACGCAGTCTTGTGCCGGACGACAGAGAAGCTGTTTGCCACTCTGATCACGCTGACTGGCGAGCCAATTAGTTTTTATGCCAAAAATTTGTAGGGACCCAGAGAACTGCGGAAAATGAAAAGCCCTGAGAACACTCGCACCTGCTAACCGTGGGGCCATCCGCAACACGTAGGGTAAGTTGGAATTTGAAGCGGGTTCTGGATGTACTTCGTTTGAACCTGAAATCGATTGCTCAGGAGACACTGTGGGGTTAATTCGTTCTTGAACTCCAGTGTACATGAGAACCGGTTGGGTGACAGTGGCCAGCAACAGTTGATTGCAACCGTCTACTACTCGCACAACACAGAATCGATCAACAACGTCCGGATCAGATAATTCGGTGCCGGAAAATTTATCTGCGTCACGACAACAAACCAACTGCCATTCTGTTATGTCCGTCAACTCCTCGGGTTTAGGCAGAAGAAATTGAATTTCTCCATGGAGAAGTCCAGGGATATCATTGACGGGGTCTGTGGGAGGTCGGGAACCTACAAATTCTGTTGTATCGACAAACCCAACGTTCTCCACTAGATCCGGATGCCATTGGCGTAGACAGTGTGAATTGCGAGCCAAGAGAGTAGTTCGATCCGCTAAAGAGGAACCAGGATATTAAAAGTGCGTTAACTCTATGCAAAAAGACGATCACGAAAATGAAAAACACACAAAATTGTTTGCAAAACTTTATATTACTCAGCAGTCCGAAGAGCTACCATTAAGATAATTGTGAGGGACGAACACTCGAAAGTGTCAAGCAACAATCATTTGTCACAAGGTTAAATGAGAGTAGCCATCAAGGTACATCGATAGAGGAGACAATGGAGAGTGCATTAAATCATAAGAGAGAAAAATCCAACATACCTTCGTGAGCGCATAGGTCATTAATGTGAACCAAAACGAAATTTATTTGCCCAATACTGTGCGCTAAGGTCACGGACCAGAGATCAGTCACATGAGCTCTGAACTAATTGCACTTGTTTACTCTATCAATGGGGGTGATGAGAAAAACGAGGTGAATTCTTTCTACAAACAACCAGTTTCATTCTTAGAAAACACACTTACCTTTAGGTGATCCTTGGTTCTATGAGTCAATTTTCATAACCAAAATCTGCGAAAGTAATGTTACTTTTTTCTTACGTAAATTTAAGTTTTTCTTAATCAAGCATAATCAAGTGTGACCCGTAGAACAGAGTTACGAAAACAATGCGTGCGTTGCCAAAGTTATCTCGGGGTAAAAGTAAGCCTCACAATTAGTGCAGTTGTGACACCTGTTGATCTCAGTCCTAAACTAGTAAACTACGTAATGTGTCATGAGAAAAATAATAGAGTCGAACTTCAGTATAGCTAACAGAACACTCGGTAAGGAAAGCAAAAAAAAATCTTCCTGAAAATCGACTTAGTTCTTTGAGAAATCGAAGTCAACCAATAGAAAAACACCGAAGGTTCCAGAAAATTCATGGAATGTGCTAGGATGTTGGAGCAGTTACGTGAGTTACTGATCTGCTCAATCTTATTGGTTATTACGCACATTATCTGGGCATGCAGCGTAGTCATGAAGTGCAACGCAGTTGTACACCCTTCAATATAACTCTCGCGCTCATCTTGTGGGCTTTAGAATTGGGATTTCACCAGTTGGAGCGTTGTCACTGGACCTTTTGAAAGGGTAATTTCGCGAGACGTAACAGTCCACCACATGCGGTGTTGCATGTATAACCACTGTAACGGCTTTGGCAACTTGTCATTCAGTTTGAGTGAGTCGTGTTCACGTCTCACTGGTTCACACTACTGAGAATCAGTTAACCATCTCCACGGAAAACCTTCTATCCGCGGCTCCATCCCTTGCATCTTTCCTTCTATTGATGAGATGTGTAATTTTTGACTGAAATGCGAACATTCTGTTCTCGCAAAAGTCTATACAAATACAAACACAATGCGAGACTCGTACCATAATCGGTTGACTCGTGAATTCGTTCAAGGGAGACCATACTACGGTACATTCCAGCCGAAGCACAGAACACCAATAAAAGCACGACCCCTAAGTGACCATAAAAGGTCGATACAAGATGAAGACGATATCTGACTTTGCGAACAGATTAGGTTAAAAGTTGTGACTCAACTTCTCTGTTGGCATTCTCTAAGAAAATCAATCGACGCTTTTCCTAGCCTCAAACAAAATAGGAAGTGAAGCAAACGGTTTTGCGCTGAACAAAGAACAGCTCTCGTCTCTCTGGATACATATACCGAAACGCGGACAAAACTAAACGGATTCGGAAAAAAAATAACAATGGTTGGTCCTAGAGGGGAGAAGGCACTACCAGTGCGCTACTTGAACGTCGTGTTCGAAAAACATTTTTCAAAGTCAAACTTTGAAGTAAATGTGCAGATCATGGAAAACATTTTCAAAATGTTATGAAAAGTCAATAGCGTTCACTACAACTTACTCGTAAAGTTATTCAATCGACTGACAAATAGAATAAGCTAATTGCATAACTGTTCAATGATCCTGAAAATCATATCGAAACTGGAGCGGATCTAGAAATAATGAACAGCATGAAGGTCAATGACAAGCGTTTGTACGAAGAACATAGACACTTACATTGTGTGCGACGAGGCTGCGAGCCACTCTCCAAATCCCACACAATAATTGGAGCATCGGATTGCAACGGATTACAGGAAGCGCGTTTTTCTGTCGCACTGATTGAACGTGCTAGGCTACTGTTTTTATTCAAAGGTTCCGTAGCCAGGAGACAGACGCTGGCAACCGTAGTGGGTTGAGGCTTAAATGCAAACAATTCAGCCTCCAGATCAACGGTTGCTTCTGGAACACCATTGGCAGCGGGAGTCGGTGTAATTGAACGGCCCAAGGCCATCAGAGCATCTGAAGATGGTGATTGTGACAGCAACGAATCATCCACGGGAGTGCGCCGTTCAGGCACAGAATCACCACCAGTGATGGATGAGGATACATGAGGA